CCCCCAACCCCCCCCCCCCTCGCTCCATCATTCACCTCTTCCAAAAAGCAACCTCCCCTCCATCCCCTCAACCCCACTGCTCCACTCTCCAAACCCAATCAGCGCCCCCCCACCCGCCGCCCACTCACTGTTCCAGCGCGGCATCATAGTCGCGCTTGGCGTACAGCGCATCGGCGTACTGCAGGCGCACCTCGGCCAGCGTCGCCGCGTCGGCACGCTCGGAGCGCGCCAGCGCCAGCGCCAGCGCATAGGCCCGCGTGCGGTACAGCACCGCCAGCCGCGCGCGCAGCGGGAGCGGGCGCAGCGCCGCCACGCCGCCGTCGGCCGTGCCCGCCGCCACGCCCGCGGCCGTGGCTGCCAGCCATCGCAGCGGGCCTGCCAGCTCGGCGCTACCCGCCAGCACGCGGTTGGCGGGGTCCAATAGGCGCAGGGACACGGCGCCGTTGACCCCGGCGCCGGCAGCCCCGGTGCCGGCCTCGGGCGAGGCGACGGCCAGGTGGGACCCCGCCCCTGCCAGCCAGGCCTTGGGCCCGGGCAGCGCCAGCGCCCCCGTCTGGCCGTGCTCCACGTCGAAGGAAAGCACCGCCTCTGCGCCGGCCACGGCCAGTTGCGTGGCCGAGGAAAGCGTGGCTCGGCGCGGCTCGGCGCCGCTCGGCTCCAGCAGCGCGCGGTCACCGCGCGGCAGCCGCCAGGCCGCCGTGGCTGTGCGCGTGGTGGCCCAGAGCAGGGAGGCCGCAGGGGTGCGCGCAAAGGCCAGGAAGGTGGCCTCCCGGTCCTCGCTGCTGAGGTGCAGGGGGCTGCAGAGCAGGCCGGCGCACCGCAGCTTGCCTGTGAGTGCGTGGGTGTGAGAGGGTGGGGGGGTGGGGGTGGGGGAGGGACACTGGGTTGGACGCGGCGGATGAAACCCGGGAGCATAGCGAGGGACTGCAGAGAGCATGTCCACACCGTACGCGAAGACCAAGAGTATATGGTGATGATGCGGGGTGCAAACGCCCCAAGTCACAGCGCCAACTACCCCCGTACCCGGCACCCTCACCCTTGTCGAATCTGGAGATGTGCAGGGCGCCGGAGCTGAGCGCCACCGCGACATGGAGGTTGGGCCACTCCAGGGCCGACACGTGGATGTCGGCGGCCGCCACGGCGTCGCTGGGTGGGGACTTGTTGGCGAAGAGCCTGGCCACCATGGGGTTCATGGGCGCGCCCGACCCCTCCCGCCCGTTCCAGATCTTCAGAGTCAGGCTGGGCGTGCCGGCCCCCTCCTCGCCCACCGTGCACAGCACGTCATGCTGCGAAGGGGGTCATATGTAAAACACACATGTGTGTGTGCAGAGGCCACGAAGGTGTGCACCGACATGGCCTGTGATGGGCAGGACGAGGGGCATCCAGCTTCGGCGCCCACCCTGCACCACCATGACGAAGACCCTACACCCGTCCGATACCCCCGCAGTCACCCACATCGTAGCATGCTATGGCGTGCACCGGGCCGGCATGTGAGGGTAAGGTGGCCTTCAGGCTGAGATCAGCGTGCAGGCAGATTACGGTGCCGTCGCTGCAGCCCAGGAAGAGCTGGAGCGCCTCGTCCTGCACGGCGCAGGTCACCGTGTCGGGGAGGCCCGTGTCATTCTTGATCAGGGCGTCGTAGAATCTGTACCGCTTGAAGGCCGCCATGGCGGGGGCGCCAGAGGGACCGGTACCTCACTCCGCCTGGATCACTCCGCAGCCAGGGTGCAGGGCCATCACGCCTGGGTCCCGCTGCTGCCTCTCATACACAAGGTTGATTTTTAACATCGGGTGTTGGGTATGTGTTGGATGCCCCCGAGATCATCCGGCATCTTCATCGGAGTTTTGCCCTGATGCGGTCGGCGCACCCTCATGCAGACCGCTGCTGCGAATGCGTTCATGGGAGGCTGGCTCTTTGAAGTCGATCATCTCGTGGATCTACGACAGGGACCAGAAAAGTGGCTTATAGACACACACACACACACAGGGTCTCTTTCAAAATTGGTGCATTCATGTGCTGCAAGGTCACGGGGTGGAAAGCTCAATCCGCCTTGCTACGGGGGGAGGCCGGGGCTCGCGCCAGGTGGGCGAGGACGACGAGGCCCGAGGCGGCCAGCGCGGCCAGTGCAGCGCGCGCGCCGCCCACCCCCAGCCACTCGGCCGCGCCCAGGCGCGGCCCCAGCGCCGCCAGCACAGCCAGCCGCGCCAGCTCCCAGCGCAGCGCGGCCCGGCTGCCGTCCATCACCCAGACGGCGGTGATGAGGCTGGCGATGCCCGCCAGCGCCGCGGCGGCCAGCCGCGGCTCGCCCAGGGAGGCGCGCGCCTCGCCCAGGGCCAGGGCGCCGGGCAGCACGGCTCCCAGCAGGTGCAGCGCGGCGTAGAAGTCCAGCGCGCCCAGAGCGCGCCGCTCCCAGGGGTACCAGCCGTTGGGCCGGCGCGGGTCGGGGTCCAGCCCCGCGCCGGCGGGCGCGGGCGGCGCGCCCGCCGGCGCGTCCACCACCGCGGGCACCACCATGCCCGGGCCGTAGCGCCTCGTCAGCAGCGCGGACAGGGGCGCCGAGGCTGCGGCCAGGCGGAGCGTGGCCGCCAGGTGGTGCGCCTGGGCCCAGAGCGGGGAGTAGGTGCCCAGCGGCACGCGCCGGCTGTCCAGGCCGTAGACGCAGGGCCGCGCCGCGTCCTCGTCCTCGAAGGTGCCGTACAGGCGGTCCCAGACGATGAGCACCCCGCCGAAATTCCTTGGGGGGGGGTGTGGGGGAGTGGGGGAAAAGGGGTGGAGAGGGGGAGTTGGACATCAGGAGGGGAAGGGGCTGAGTGGGGAGGCGGTGCGACCCGGGGTTGCTCCGGCATGTCTGGGTGGGGGAAGGCCTGATCATCGCCCCCACGCCACCGCGGCCGCCCGGTCCGGCCGCATTGCTGAGCCCCATCCAAGGTGCCATGCCTCCTCTCCTGGGCCCGTCTCCCCAGCCACAACCCAGGCCCCCTTGGCTCCCACGATGCCCTCCCACACCTGCGGCCGTAGTTGCGGGCGTGGTGCACTCGGTGGTGGGAGGGCGTGTTGAACACATACTCGAGCGGCGCCCACAGCTTGGGGATCATCTCTGTGTGCACCCAGAACTATTGGTGGGCAAGGGGATGGAGGCTCAGAGAGGGCGGAGGGACAGCACTCCATCCCACCCAGCTGGCTTGGCAGGGGGAGAGCATGCGGCACGCAGCAGAGGAACCCCGCACCGGCCTGCCGCCAGCACCCATGGCCTCGCAATCAGGCTGACCTGAATGACGACGTTGGCGCCTTTATGTAGCGCAAACACCTTCAGCGGTGCAAAGGGGGCCAGGACCAGGTAGTACGCCCAGCTGTACTGCAGGCGCGATCCCGGTGGGTGGGGAAGGGGGGGTGTTGGAGGGCGGCCGACAGATGGGAAGGTCAGCACCCAAGCTCGCATGATGGTGATCAGGCACTGGTCGCAAGGATCCAGGAGCTGAACACCCTGGCGAGCCACGACAGGCTGGTTGACGCCAGGGCTGCCACTGCCCAGTGCCCCACCCAGGCCCCAGCACGCATGCACTGCCCCCCCCCCACACACCACACAATTGCATCGCCCGCCCACCATGCTCTCGCCCACTCCCTGGCGCAGGGCCGTGCTCAGGTTGTAGTCGTTGCTGGAGTGGTGGGTCACGTGTGCCGCCCAGCCCAGGTTGGACATGTGGGCTGTCCGATGGAACCTGAGGGGCGGTGTGTCGGGGCTGCTTTTGGCTGGGCCTTGGCACATTGAAGCTTGCATGCTCATGGCCAAGCATCATGACCAAGCACCCGGTCCCAGGCTGCCGGGGCAGGCGCCCGCGATGCCCGACTCCCACCAGTAGTAGGAGTGATCCACGATGAGGAAGCCTAGCACCTGGTGCAGCCAGCCGAGCTCCAGGTCATCGGGGATGATGGCGACCCGGGACCTCAGCCAGGAGTAAGGGAAGATGAAGAGTGCCTTGGTGAAGACATCTGCACGATGACCATGGCGGATGAGAGGTTCCTCTTGACAGCAATTGCGGGTCGGTATCGCATTGCAGGCCGCTTGGGGGTGCCCATATACTCGACCCCCGCCGAAGTGTCGTCGGAAGCCCAGGAGGGCCCTCACCGAGGAACACGAGGAAGAAGCCGGCGCTCAGATTCGACAGGGACTGGCGTAGATTGTACACCTTCTTGCCCTGGTAGGTGGAGACCGCCAGCTCCAGGAGCATGAACAGCACGAAGTAGGCGCTGCTGGCCTTGATGGGGTCCGGAAGCTCGTAACCCAGGTGGGCTTCCGGATGCAGCCATGCGCGAAGGAGCGCCCCCATATTCACAAATCAGGGAGCTATCCGAGAAGGAGCTGGGGGGATACGCTCTGGTTAGCAAGCGGATCCCTGATGAGCACGCATTGTCTGCAGCCATTCCTCCGCGGCCCGGGGGACACGTCGGATTCTTAAGGGAGCGCGCTTGGGGCCAATGATTCTATCGGATGCACCACAGCAGCTGAGCATGCATGTGTGCAAGCACAACACACCATTACCACCAGGGGAGCAACGTGCACCTGAGGTCCCACTCTTGGAGCTGCACCACAAGTGGTACAATGTCCTTTGATGCAAGGATGAGAGATTCACACAAGAAATCCCGAGGGTGCAAGAGCTGTGCTGCCGGTGCAAGCTTTGGAAAGGCATAACTAGCAGGCAGAAGGATAATTCAGGAGTTCACTCTCAGGAGTTGGGTGTGTTGGGTCCAGAAGAAGTGTCGGGTTTTCAGTCATCAGGAGATGTCCCTGGCGGCCGGCCTGTACATTATTTCCCCATGAGATTATTTCTTAGGTGGAGGGGGTGACTTCTTCTTGGGTGGAGGCGGCAGCGACTTCTTGGGTGGGGGGCGGGGGGGTCTTCTTCGGTGGGCGGGTCGGCGACTTCTTGGGTGGGGGCGGGGGGCTCCTCTTAGGTGGGGGAGGCGGTGACTTCTTGGGTGGTGGAGGCAGTGGGCTCTTTTTGGATGGGGGAGACGGCTTCGCCTTAAGCGGTGAGGTCTTTTTGGGGGGTGGAGGCGGGCCTGTCTTAGGTGGTGGGGGTGGGCTCTTCTTTAGAGGGGGAGGGCTCTTCATGATTGGGGGTGGGGGGCTTCTCTTCGGTGGAGGAGGGAAACTCTCCTTGGGTGGGGGTGGGGGGCTCATTGTGGGAGGGGGAGGGGGACTCTCCATAGGAGGAGGGGGGGGAGCTCTCCTTGGGGGGGAGGGGGAGGAATGCTGGGTGATGGTGGTGGAGTGGTCGGCGGGAAGTCACCTGGACTAGGAGGTGGGCTTGTGGAAGTGGGTGGCGGAATGGTTGGTGGGCTGGGTGTCACGGGTGATGGGCTGGGAGGGGGAGAAGAAACCGGGGTCGGAATGCTTGGAGGGGGTAACAGGGCGTCGGGTGGAGGCGGTGAAGGGTAGGGCGCCAAAGCGATCGCAGCAGACCGGACACTTGTTCCGTCCCGGACCCAAGCAGTCGCCCTAATTCTTCCCTTCGAAGTTGTGCTCTCAATCGGCGTTATCTCCGCGACGACAGTGTTGGTTGGGCGTATGTCTAGAATCTTCACTTGTTCATTGTCGAAGGTAATCTCGAAGGTGACCATATCAACCAGGATGCTGGTCACGGCCTCCATGCTGCATACGATGGATCGATCTCTGGGCTCTGTACACCAGGCAAGTGTCATGGTGCAGGTATAACCCGCGGGAGGAGGGGTTGGGCTCGCCGTTTGATGCGCCGGGGGATGAAGGTCGCAACTCGTGAGCAATGAACTGGGTTGCACATATACAACCCCAAACCGAATTAATTTGCGAGCCTCGCAAAATCTACCGCGTTTATAAGCAAAGCATAGAACGCAAGAGTGAGGGCCAACGTTAGTGTGAAGGGTTTTGAGCCGACCATCCCTCGCGACCTGGGGAGACCCATGATTCACTTCGACCTGGTCAGTATGATGATATCTTTGACCAATTCGGCCGATGCTACCAGAACCTACCAGCAACAGGTGTTTCTTGTCTTGCATTAATGAGCACTTTGGATTAGGTGAGTCCCCGTTATGATCGCAACCGGCATCATTTTCCGCCGGATTTCGCCGTGACACCGGCGACCGGAGTGCCAGGCACACCCTACATTTGCAATTGACTTGCTTCACCATTGTTCCAGGCTACTCATTTGGTTGTATAAAAATGGCTGAGTATTGCTGCAAGACCAATCTGCTGCCTTCCAGTTGTTTGCTAGAGGTATCTTGAGCCGGACACAGTACCGGAGCCGGGCACCCCAGGCCAGGCCGGGGTGACAGCAAACAAAGGTGCCTGTGCATTATGCACCCACGCACACAGGAAGCGACAAGCTTGATTTCCTTATACAACCTTGCCTTTTATTATGTAATGTGATGTGCCTTGGGCGTGAAGAAATTACCTGCGATGTTTGGCTTGTCAGCTGGGAGGTTAGCCGTGGCCGGATTCGTTAGTGCAGTCGGATTCGGTGCGCAGCAATACCATAAGGAGTGTCGCGTACTCAGCACGAGATCTCGTTCATCTTGAGATGAGAGGGGTAAATGATCCGTTTCTGTGTAATTACACTTGATTCGGCAGCTTGGTCCACCTGGTGCCCCTCTAGGCCAGTGTACGGAATCCGCCGCATGGGTCGGGTGCCCATGACTTGGAAGGTATCATTTCCACGACCGCAGATGTTGGATTCTGTTATGGAGCTCGATCGATGAGTCTCTTGGTGCCTCATCCCAAAGTAATAAGAACCGACCCATCACCATGTACATCCATACTAAGCTGCTGATGAGTCTAAGCAACCACGCGCTGACACAGTACTCGATGCGGCATGCAATGGCAGCGCTAGCTACACGCATGACAACCAGCCAAAGCATTTTCAAAAGGGCAACTCAGTACTTTATATCCACCTAGCTTTGTAATCTAAGGACCCCAAAGCACCGCCCAACGACACCGCCCTGCATCACTTGGGCGGAAAATGGCATCCCATCTGCTACCAAAGAGCACATGAAGCACCCCGGAGCTGCACTGATTGATCAACCCAAAGGTCAACCAGGCAGTCCAGATTCTGGCAGCGAAGCTCACACCAACCTTGAAAGGCGCGGGACGACCGGGACGCACTGGGAACGGCCAGAATGAGTGCTGTGCTGCCCAGGCTCACAGAGCGGCTACCAGAGGCTAGTCCCCATGAGCGGCCCGTCAAGAGCAGCTGACGCCGTCAGTGATCTCGTCTTGAGGAGGGAATTAGCAGGAGGTGATGGCCTGGAAGAGGAGGAGTTCGTGGCCAAGGTGCTTTTGTACCTGCCGTGGATTCCACCTGGATCAACGACTAGACCAGTACCCGGGCAGGCTTTGTGACGGACGCAAGTGCCAGAGCGATTCAGGTGTTGTGCTAGCCTCCAAGGTCCCGGTTGCATTCAGCGGACAGCACTCGATGCCGGTCTAATCTGATATGAAGTTCTGACACTCGGTATATTTTCGATCACATAAGAAGATTCGCACACCAGTCAGCCTCGTGCGTTGCGTTTGCACCGCCTGGCGTTCAGGGTAGGGAAGTTGAGGTTGGGAGCGGGAAGGGGTTTTGCTCATGGAGCTCCCCTTTTGGAACAGAGATATATGTGAACCAATGGGAATGGGTTCAGGACGAATGACGTGGTAAGTTGACGAATTACAGTCCCCGGGATGGCCGAGTGTAATGCCTGGGCGATCCAAGGCACCATCTCGAGCAAACGCGCGCGAGGACACCATCGTCACCATAAAATATGTGTTTACTGAGAACTCTGTGAAGAGTCTAACACTTTCCTCCATGTTTTGTAATTTATCAACGATCCTGACACATTAGAGGAGCTTCCAGCGCTGAGCACTAGCAGACTTCAACGCTCCTCACGGCCAGCTCCAAGCCCCGTGCGGAAGGCTCTCGGCCTGGAGCTCGTCATAATAGAGTCTCCCGGTTCCCAGGCGCTGATGCGGGGCTCCATGCCCCCTCCCTCCCCTCGGGCTCCCCGCAGACGGGAGGCTGTTCTCGAGGAGGACGAGTGGGTGGCGAGAGCAGAGGCCATCATAGAGCGCGACTTCTTCCCCGAGCTCAGCAAGCTGGAAGGAAAAGTGCAGTGGCTGGAGGTACGCACGTGCCTGTAGAGTGTGGTGCGCTGTGAATGGGTGCAGCCTGGTCGTGCATGGGCAAGGGACATGCAAGGTGCCCAGCGGATACCAGCGCCC